CTGTGTCTGTACATAAAAATCTATATTAAAAAAAGTAATTAAGCAGTCGCTACCAAAGTACGGCTAACCTTAGATAAATATATAGGGCATCAAAAGCCACTATGATTGGGGCTCTGGGACTTCCGGTTTCTGAGATCTTGGAAACTAACCTTTTTTGAGCCCGTTTGGCCATTAGCGACCTTGACCTTGACCTAGTTGCATAAAAGTAGGTCATTATCTGTGGATTTGGCTCAGTATCATTGGCCTTAAGGCCCTTGGCCATACGGCTTATACTTTAGGCCTAATGGCAATTTCAAAATTTACAAATTTTGCCTTTAAAAGCCCCTGTGACCTTGAAAAGTAGGTCAAGGTCACTAAAACTGGGTCTATAGCATATTCTTACCATAGGCTACCTATGTAAATTATTTCAGATTTTTTGCGAAAAAAAACTTGCGGAAAGAATAATAATAATAACTAGACTGCAACTGGCTAAAGCCAATGGCGGAGGATTCCCCTGCAAAATAGGTGTGAAAATACTCTTACAAGGTCATGTGAAGGTCATGGGTTAAATTTGACCCCATATTCTGAAAGAGCATGTGCGAATTGGGGGGGGGGAGTCAACAAAACATCACTTTTAGCCCGATTCAATATTTCTCCATTAAATAGCCGAATGACCTTGAAAATGAGGGTCAAGGTCAAATTTGACATTTGATTTGGGGTTTTTGGGTATATGTTTGGGGTAGTTTACTATAGCATGCTATGACCAAAAACCATTGTTTCATGGAGAAACTGCCAAACTCAAGATTTCTGCAATGTCATAAATATTTAAAAATCTATATTAAAAAAAGTAATTAAGCAGTCGCTACCAAAGTACGACTAACCTTAGATAAATATATAGGGCATCATTTGCCACTATGATCGGGGCTCTGGGACTTCTGGTTTCTGAGATCTCGGAAACAAACCTTTTTTGAGCCCGTTTGGCCATTAGCGACCTTGACCTTGACCTACTTGCATAAAAGTAGGTCATTATATATGGATTCATCTCAGTATCACTGACCATAAGGCCCATAGCCATACGGCTTATACTTAAGGCCTAATGTCAATTTCAAATTTTAGAAATTTTGCCTTTAAAAGCCCCTGTGACCTTGAAAAGTAGGTCAAGGTCACTGAAACTGGGTCTGTGGCATATTCTTGCCATAGGCTACCTATGATAATTATTTCAGATTTTTTGCGAAAAAAAAAACGCGCGGAAAGAATAATAACTATAATACTACCAAAAACAATAGTATTCCCCTATGGGGAATCCTAATAATAATACTACCAAAAACAATAGCATTCCCCTATGGGGAATCCTAATAATAGTCTTCTACACACAGATGACTTGCCACTGGCTATACCTCCTGTTAGACCTATTATATATGGCTGGTCTGGTAGACCTGACTTCTGCTGGAATAATAATAATAATAATAATAATAATAGCAGTTGTCCACAACTGTGAAGACTGTGACTAAACTGATAAGTTTAAAAAAAAAATAACTTTATTTTTGGCAGAAAAATCAAATAATTTATGTACTTTTCAAATAATTTGATAAGTACGTAAAAATGATGTGATTTTCAACCAACAAATCTTTCTCAAATTGAAAACTCTGCTTGCAACAAAACACTAAATAAATATTTAAACAGAAGATGGNTCATTTGCCACTATGATCGGGGCTCTGGGACTTCTGGTTTCTGAGATCTCGGAAACAAACCTTTTTTGAGCCCGTTTGGCCATTAGCGACCTTGACCTTGACCTACTTGCATAAAAGTAGGTCATTATATATGGATTCATCTCAGTATCACTGACCATAAGGCCCATAGCCATACGGCTTATACTTAAGGCCTAATGTCAATTTCAAATTTTAGAAATTTTGCCTTTAAAAGCCCCTGTGACCTTGAAAAGTAGGTCAAGGTCACTGAAACTGGGTCTGTGGCATATTCTTGCCATAGGCTACCTATGATAATTATTTCAGATTTTTTGCGAAAAAAAAAACGCGCGGAAAGAATAATAACTATAATACTACCAAAAACAATAGTATTCCCCTATGGGGAATCCTAATAATAATACTACCAAAAACAATAGCATTCCCCTATGGGGAATCCTAATAATAGTCTTCTACACACAGATGACTTGCCACTGGCTATACCTCCTGTTAGACCTATTATATATGGCTGGTCTGGTAGACCTGACTTCTGCTGGAATAATAATAATAATAATAATAATAATAGCAGTTGTCCACAACTGTGAAGACTGTGACTAAACTGATAAGTTTAAAAAAAAAATAACTTTATTTTTGGCAGAAAAATCAAATAATTTATGTACTTTTCAAATAATTTGATAAGTACGTAAAAATGATGTGATTTTCAACCAACAAATCTTTCTCAAATTGAAAACTCTGCTTGCAACAAAACACTAAATAAATATTTAAACAGAAGATGGTTTTGTTTGCTTTATAGTCTCTAAACTAATAATAATAATAATAATAATAATAATAATAATAATAATAATAATAATAATAATAATAATATTATTATTATTATTATTATTATTATTATTATTATTATTATTATTATTTATTTCTTAAAACCGCACTACACTACCGTCTTAGTGCTGTTTACAGATAAAATTATCATGAATACAACTAATTATATAGATAATAGAAGCTAAGGTAAAAAAAAAAAAAAACAATTAAAATAATTAATGCTGGTTTAAATAGTAACAGTCTGAACAATAAAACTTTTTTTCGGATAAAATGAGAAAATGTTTGACATGGGCACTTCTCAAGCCGAACATTGACTGTTAACACACACTGACTGTTTCAATACCTTAGGCTCTGCCCACAAAGTTCCCAGAAGTCTCTTCCTGAGTGACGAGGAACTGATCTTGGCCTCTTCTTCTGGAGCGTGTTGTGTATCCTCTACAAGGTCTATCACTTGGGCTTCTAGTGGACTCATACCCTAGGATATAATAAAATGTATTGCCGTTATCTCAATACCACTTCAGATATTCATTGAGTGTATGGTACTAGAAAGCTCTTAATATCAACTTTATACCGCCCACCACAATCTTTGCTAAAATCTCAGTTTTTTAACATTTTATACAGAAGTTAGCAATCTTCCCAACATTCTCAATCATTTATGCAACAAATATAAATATTAATCATTTTAAGCAAAAAATTTCACAGAGGAAGATGGTAATATTGAAAGTAAACAATTTCAATAAATTTTAATTTTAAAAAATAAAAAATCTGCTGGCTGTTAAATGAATAAAATCACATTACCCCCCCCCCAACACATGAATACATGGATACATGAACACAAACCCATACACAAACACCCTGCTGTTCACACCTTCTCCTCCCTCTTCTGGTTCACCATATGAAATCCTTTCACTGTTTCCTGGCTAACCACCAGACACTGGTACTCAGGGCGCACGATGGTAGGGCCATAGGGGTCCACAATGGGGACAATGTCATACTCTAACGACGGCTTCACGTCCTGCAGGAAATCCTGCACAACTGCCAGTCTTTCCTCTGTTGGCTGTATCAGTTCTGGTAGGGACTTTTCTGAAATTATGGTAGAGCACTATTTAAATTACATTTGTTTTTCAAACTGAGGTTTTGCCGAAGATTTTGTCCTAAATGTGAATCTGTAATTAGGTCAACAAATAACAGGGACTTTTCTGAAATTATGGTAGAATATTATTATAGAATTTGTACTTTATTTTTAATGATATAATTTTTTAACCATTTTTTAATTTTATTTCTATGATTTGGAGTAATCTAGGGGGTACATTGAGTCCAAAATGTGAATATGTAACTTGAAATTTTATGTAGTATGTGTTTAAATTCTGTTTCTTTAACACTATAGGATGAAATCAGACTTAATTCCAAAGTTCAAAGTGTGAACATTCTAATCCATTCTCTAATAGACTACATATGATGGAGAAAAATGAGAAAACATATTTCATTTCCCTCAATGTTGACAGTCACTGTCACATTTACTGGGCCACTTAGGGCGTTTTCTTTCACATACTTTACCACACAGCAAAATAAAAATACTGGCATGCATGGTTCTATTTGTTTAACCTGGGTTCAGGGTAAATATTCTTTAACTGACGTGTCACCCTGCTTTGATTCTATAGTGTGCTAGGTGCAATTGCTAATTATAACAGTGCAACTTTTGGTGCCTTCTCTCAATTTGCCACACAGCAAATAAAAATAGCTGCAGACACAGCCCTATCTGTGTAACCTGAGCTTAAGGTAAATATACTACAACTGTGTCACCAGGCTCAATATTCGTTATAGAATACTAGCTGCTATTGAGGTCAGCGTCTATCAGTTATCAATATTTTCTTTTAACTGGGAGAGAAAGAATTACACTGCTTATTGCTATGTTGAGGTCACTGGCAGGTAATAAACAGACGTCATATTTCTCTCTTCTTTTAACCAGTTCTAAAAGTAGAGATCATTTTTGACTGAATTATTCAGTACCTAAGGGAACAAAATCAACTCAATCATCCTTTGTGCATTAACAAAGAGACAGTCAAATATGGCAGAAGCACTAGCAGCAGATATCAAAGAGAATATCTTAACATGCAGTATTTGTCTGGGAGAGTATGAGGATCCCCGTGTGCTGCCTTGCTACCATACATTTTGCTTCGGTTGTATATGTGACCATGCTTCACGCACAGTGACTCCAAATAGGACATTTCTGTGTCCCATTTGTAGAGAAGAGGTCCAGTTTCCAGCTGGTGGACTTAATGAACTGAAAAAGAATTTTGTCTTCAGCAAGGCCAAGGACATCATAACCGAACAACGAGATAGAGGGACCTTTGAAAAGGAACAGCCCAACGTAGCAACAGTGACACAAGACATTGCACAGATGACCATCAGTTGTAAGAAACATCCTAATAAAGAATTAGAATACTATTGTGAAGATGACAGCACTGTAATATGTGGCAAGTGTATAGCAACAGGGCATGGTGGACATCGTATTTCATCAGTTGAACAAGTTGCAAAAATTAACAGAGATAAAATTAAAGCTGCTCTTGGGAGAACTATGGACACAACGAACAGGTTTAAAGAGTCCATAGAGACAGCCAGTGAAAAAGGGGATCCTCATATCAAGACACTCACTATTGAAAACATCAAAACACAAGCTCAGAGTATGCGCAAATACATTGATCAAAGGGAAGAGACACTGATATCAGAAGTGAATTCTGCTTATGATGTCAGAAAGAAGCAGGAGGAGGCAAACAAAGATATCCTTGAGTTCCACCATACGTCCTTGCACAGTGCCTGTGACTTTGCCCAGGAACTTATCACTAATGGCACTGACTCTGATGTCATGGTTCATGCAAAACCTCTGATAGAAAGACTGACAGTGTTGGAGAAAACACCTGTCCCAACTCCAGACACACCAGCACAGATATCTTACAAACCAGGTAGGATATCTACTGCCGGACTGAGAGCCATGTTAGGACAGTTGACTCCATTGGCTGGACAAGGAACAAACCCAAGATCAGCACCACTTCATCCTGTTTTCTTGGATAGGGCAGAATGTGTGCATTCCTTCAGTGCTCTGATGGAAGATGACATAAACACTTACATATCTGGGTTAGCCATTGATATGGAATACTTGTTTGTAGCGGATACAAGAAATGACAAAACAAAAATATTCACACATGCTGGAGAATTTAAATTTGACATTAAACTTGACAGTCCAGTTGATGTGGCTGTGTCACAGACTGGTCACCTGTATATAACATCACGGGGTGGCAAATGTGTCAAAGTGTACTCCACCAGAGGTCAGCAGGTGACAACCATGGGTCAGGGTCTACTGGAAAGCCCGTGTGGTATTAAACTGAACAGACAAGGTAATGTGATGGTTTGTGACTATGTTAAGGAATCGTTATTCACATTCCATGCAGACAGTGGACAGCTCCTGAACACTATCCCATTTGATATATTTGTGCACCCATGCTTCATCACAGTGTACAGTGTGAATGATTACATTGTGATATCATACAGTCACGAAAGCCGTGTAAGTGTGCTGTCACCTACTGGTAAACAGCTATACCAGTATGGCACACATGGCAGTGGATATGGTGAGATGAACTGTCCACAGGGAGTGTGCATAGACAGCTATGGCCACATCTTCATTGCTGACAGTTATAACCACAGAATAGTGGCACTGAATTTTCGTGCATATTTTATGCGATACATTGCCACAGAGGAGGATGGGCTGGAGTTTCCTGTAGCATTAGCCATCAACCCTGCTGGCCAGCTGGTGGTGGCAGAGTTACAGGGCAAAGTTAAGACATTCCAGTATTTAGAGTGAATGCTGCTGACATCGAACTCTGATGACAATGCGCCCCAAAATTGATATTTGGATGGACATTCACATGTGAAGTCTTTCTTTAACCAAAATTTAGGGTAACCATAATGCGCCTGCGTCACCAAACATGAAAATGTATTATTCTTTGTGTTCTACTAGCTATTATAATGAGGTCACTAAAAAGCAATAGGCGCGACTCTTTACTTCAAGTAGAAGAATGAAACAGGAGAAAAGTACACACTGCATTAAGCAAATATCATGTTTAAGAATTTAGCATAAAGAAAAATAAGCCTTTTACAAAATCACTCTGTAATACAAGTGCCAGTCATTTAAACTGAGGAGGTTTCTGTCACACAAAGTCAGGCGGTCATGCGTTTATTTCTATAAAATGTGCTAAGGATACAATACGACTGCACCACCAGACAACCTAAACAATTTTATAACCTGGCAGTTGCTATACCAAATTGTCTCAGTATCCCACTGTTGGGAAAATGTCAACTAGCTGCGGTCTTTCAAAGGCGGCATCATCACTTGCCAAACCTGTAACATTTGCTGAAAACAAAACATGCACATGCCGTACATTTGGGAAGTCAGTTTCATGCCAAGTTTAGAACCCAAACATACCAAACATGAAGCAATTAACTTTTAGATGACTTTCACTATCAAACTGTGTCAAGATGGCATCCATAAGGTTTAGGGGGGGGGGGCTGTGAGGCACGTGTACGCTAGGAGGGGAGATTCGATCATTTTATGCAATGTTACTTCATAGCATCTATCTATTAAAATGGGATCTATAGATATATTTAGACTTTGGCGAAGCTCAACAAGAAGAGGTTTACATAGATAACATTTCCCACACTTCATCAATTTAACATAAAATGAGATCCAACATAAATGTAATCTGTTATTTTAGACTACATATTGGGAATTGCAAAATAAAATATAATAGTCAATTTTTATTTCCTCGGTGTTAGAAGCATTCGTCGTTCAGGACCATTTGGTTGTTTTCTTTCACATACTTATACACAAAGCCAAACAGAAATACCTGAGAATATTTCTTTAACCTGAGCTTAGAGTAACCATTTTACACCTGCGTCACCAAGCAAGAACCTGCGTTGTTCTTTATGGTCTACTAGCTGTTATAGGTCACTTAGAAATAAGCAGTGGGCACAAATCTCTTTACTTCAAGTAGAAGAACGAAGCAGAGTAAAATTACAGACAGCATTAAGCCAGTACAGAGTCAAGGTATTCTCTGTGAAAATATTTACATAGATAATTTAACTTTATGAGAAACGGTGTCTAGCGGAATTCCATTCCTGTCACACTTGAGTGCCCCCACAGTGTGTTGACGAGGTACACCGGTGTGGCAGGAGTGCACGTCCTCGTATCGCAAGTCCTGGGAATGCAAGTCCTAGGGCATGCATTGTTAGGAATGGAAGTCCTAGGACATACGTTACTAGGATTCAATGTCCGTAGGACGAAGGCTCGAGCTGAAGTTGCAAACCTCTCATTTTTTGTCTCATATATGGCTCACCAGAAGGATTTCACATACATTTATAGTTTTAACATTTGACAGTATTATTGGCTAGGGATAGGACTTTCAAATGGCCGAACTTTTATTACTGTCATAGGTGTAACAGGAATAAAAGTCCGACAGTAATACAAGTCCTACCTTCTACAATTATGAGCCAGGAACCTACGTCCCTGTAGGACTACTATTCCAAAGTAATGTTAGTCCTACAGACAACCATTACCAGGAACCGAGGTCCTGGAGGACTTGGATTACTGTTACACTGGCAACGCTGATTTCCTTGATAAAATGAAGAACCCCAGGGATACCCTCACGATTGTTGCCAGAAGTTTATTTTGTCAGCATGGGTTAAACGCGTACATCTGACAGTTGATTAAATATAAGATTTTCACTGGAGCAAGAGCATCTAGAAACACAATGAGTATTGGTATGAACATTTTTATTATACAATGCACAGCGTTATGAATACATAAATGTACATTGTACACTATTACATTAAGTAACGTAGTCACAAAATTAATTAAACAAAGACACAGATATGAAACCAAAACAGAAAACAACCTGATTATACAAATGTGCTCAATATTGATATCATGTTCGTTTTTATTACCCTTTAACTTCAATTCTAAGCGCTGAGAATGCGGTATACAATAGCCGAGCTTAATACCAGTGTGACATGAATGGCAGTCCGCAGGGAACCTATTCCGTTCCCCAGAATTTATGCAGGTGGCATTTCTCCCATCTACTAACCCAAATAGTTTGACTAACCCTAACCTGTATTCATATTAGAGTACCCAGGACTTCCATTCCTAGTACTATCATTCCTGCCACACCCGAATTTAAGCTGGACGAAAGAAAACCCTGCTCTCGTAAAATTACCCTGTTGGCCTCGTCAGGCTTTTATTAAACAGTAGCACACTGTACATGTCAAGGGTATATGGCAGCAGTCTAATTAGAGTTTTTTTTTTTTTTTGTCAGTGTGAGAAGCAAAACGTGAATGACGAAGATCGCAAAAGATGCAATGCCTCTACACTATTATGGGTCAGAGTTTAACGGTAAAGACACTGCGGCAAACCCCTATCTACTGTGCTACTAGACGGGAAACCAGTCTGGTGACGGTAAGCAAGAGCTGGTTTGCAGTTCCCATCTGCTAGAACTGCCGGTCGGGAGGAGATGGGTACGTAGCTAATGCCCAAATGAAGTAAAGCAACTCTTTTGCCATTAAGCTAGCAAAAATGGAGGAAGAGACATCTGGGGACATGTTTTTAAGTGATGCAGAGAACGGAAGAGAATACTTCACATACGGGCCAATTTTAGAAACTGGAGAATAAAGTAATCCTGGCTGCATACGAGAGCCAAGCATTTCAGAGAGAGTTAGCAAAGCATTTAAGGTGAGACATAAGAAATGCAATGACGAGAGCAGCCGTTCTGAGTAAACCTAGGCCCTTGTACAGAGAACGTGTCTGTGCACTAGAGGCACTGGCTGAGGTAACCGAGAAGTCTTAAACGTGTGGACATTTTGGATTTATTTCAGCAGTTAGAACATTGAAAGCATTGTTTTTCGACACTTGTTAAACACTGAAAAAAAAAAGTTTTTTTATCTCATTTATCTCCATAATGCTAATATTAGCAATGTTATTTACGGCAAAATATTGGTACTCATAACTGATAAAAATTGACTTAACTGCAAAATTTCACCTGCAGGAGGTAGTCTAGCAATCACCCTTGCATCTTATGTGTCAACGTGCAATCATGTTGCCCAGTCTAAAAAAAATGTAAATTAATATTTTTACTTAACTACTAAGAAGTAAAAATAAAAGACTTCTATTTTTGGGATCATAAGCTATATTTGCAATCTCCCCCACTCTTACCACACGGTGCAGAAAACCATCCCATGACACAACACATAAAACATTTGTCAGAAGATGGAGTAGGAATACTGGATATAACACCAGTGAAATAGTTAAATGTAAGTACTGTAAACTGACAACATCATATTTTCTTATACTGAGAATATCAAGAATCTCACTCAAAAGCAATTGTACAAATCAGAAAGAGCTTTATTTCAAGTCATTTTCCCCTTTCATTCCTTCTCCGGGTGCCCTTAAAAATATTTTTTACAAAGAAACAGAAAGACGGTTAAAGAAGAACCGATTGGCTTATTTTGTGAGATGTCTACAGAACCAAGTAAAATATTTTATCACACAAAACCCTGCAACTTTGTAAGAGGCAGATAATCATGGTAGCCAAGGGTCCATGATTACAACAATACCGGTAGAAAACAACAAACTAGTGATTGAAATAAATCACGGCAAAGGGTGGAACAACAAGAAAATCAAATAGCTGATATTTCCTGGAATAAAAATAAGTAATAAAAGCATAACAGCAGAAAATTTAGAATTGTAGACTGACAAATCAGAATGAAATATTCTGATTACATGCAAAAGACAATGAAAACAATTGAATGAGTGATCGGTTCCAAAGAATAGATTACAAATCCTCTTGAATTTGTACGACAAATCAAGTGAATGAATAGATGAAGTTATAGTTGTCATCATTATAACAAATTGGTGGAGGACCTGGTCAATGATCCCAGTGTGTCTCGCAATATGTTACTTCAATCAACAACAGACACCACCAGTTTTACAAAAGAGGCAATAACATTTCCAACAATCGCATGACTAAGCTTCAAAATGATTTGGCTACAAAAGACCCTTGGATTTCATTAGGGTTATTGGGCTTATTGCCCATGATTACAATTAGCCTAGGTATCAAAGTCCGGTGATTGGCAATGATAGTGGCTTAATGAAAAGGACACGTTCTTTTGAAACAAAATACGTCTAAGAAAGTGAACAGACATTTGAAATTGTAACATCTAGCAGTGAGCCGTCCGAAGAAGAAGAAATACTACCTGAAAGTTCACACCAACAGACCGTTGTTCACAAATGCAGTTTATTAGACCCAGTTGTCAAACAAAGGTCATGATATTTTTTTTTTTTCGAAAGAGACCAAACCAATTCCAACAACTGCGGCAAATCTTCGAGTTTGAAGGGCCATTCATCGTTAAACAAAAATCCATCTCAAACGGTCCAGAGTCTCCCATCATTATTAGTGACGATGACGACGACACAAACAACTCTGAGAACAAAAGAGTCTGCTCAGAGTCTCCAATCGGCATTGACCTCAGCAAAGAAGAAGCAAAATACGCTGAACGTTCAAGATCGCCAGATGAACGGTTTATTAACAATTGAAAAAAACAAACAATAAAATAACAATTTTCTCAGATCTAGGGTTGGCTCCAGAAAAACTCAGAGGAAATGGAAATGAAGATGTAAAGAGGTGGCTGACTCATTTTAGAAATTACGTCAGCTATAAATAGCTAGAAGGGGAGCAAATAACTTCCATTTTTGCTTTGTTGCTAAAGCAGTCAGCGTTACATTGGTATGAGTATTTGCCAGCTAGAGTAAAGAAA